ACTTGCCATCTCTATGCAAGTTTCACAATTAATTTTGAAGCTTTTCTGAAGCTAGTTGAAACAGTAGTGTCATCGTTCGATATCCGTTCGGTGAGGAATCAATCGCAAATCATGACCCGTCCCCGAGTTGTAGCAGCTTAGCTGCTTTTGTTCTGTTGTTGCAACTTTCTGCATGGATGGCTCTTTTGTGGTGCGAAAATTAGCATTTATTGTTGTTGTTGATGTGCGGACGAGAGGACGAGAGTGGTAGGCAAAAGCAGTACGTACCGTGTTAAAGGGACAGACAGAGTGCCTACCGTGTGTATGTAGACGTTGCATTTCGTGATTCCCGAGGATCGGATGTATGTGTTGTTTTTTTATTGCGTACCCGCGTCCATCACGACCATTATTGCGTAGTGTGTCGGCTAATTAAGGTCCTTCCCGTTCGTGGTGTCAGCACACGCGCAACACGCGACTAAAATAAAAATATAAAGCTTGGGACTAGCAACGCCGACGATATTCGTCGGCTTGCTTTCAACAATTCTTGGATAGATATGGATTGGTTGGGGAAAAAAAAATGGAACAGCACGATGTCTCTCAAGAGAGCAAAGTGAACACCAACGATACAAATTAAGGAAACGTAAATACACAGACAGAAAGACAAATATGCTGTTCCGGGCATCCCCTGCCTTCCCCCCCGGCGATGTTGCCGAACACCACTCGCTTCGGGAGAACGTGCGTCAACTTGACTGCGTGTAGGCAAGGCTCCAGCGAACGTTAATGTTAGTCGTCGTGTCCGGATGATGGTGCTTTCCACTCTTTGGCATCCGGCCGATTAATAAAGCTCCCTGTGGGTATGTTTTGTTCGTTATCCCTATGCATAGCCGGTGGCGTGTCTTCTCAGCAGCTGGTTGGTACTTGTTGCGGCTACGCCTGGGGCCCACGCCATCCACCCGTATAGTAGTAGCAGTAGAGCCTCTCCATCGCCTCCGCCTTCACCTTGAGTGCCCACGGCTGTGTCGAAGAGCTCCCGGCTGACATATTTTCGGAGACAAAGACACGCCAATACACGCTGCTCTGCTCCGTCCGGTCGTTGCACTCTTCTAGCGTGTGAGTCACCACTTTGTCTGACCCGGCCACCAAGGTATCGCATCTCCGCTGTCCGGGCGTATTCTCTTCCTCCTGCTGCTGCTTCGATCCCGAGCCAGTGGTGCCTCGAGTGGTGGCGGAGGAGGTGGCGCTCCCTCCTTCGGCTTCTTGTCCTGATTCCGCCGTATGTATCATCAGGAGATATTTTCAATCATTTTTTCCCCTTCCCAGCAGGCACTACTCTGTACTGCTGTCTTGCCTGCCAGACAGTTCAAATGGCTGAGAAAATTGACATAATGCGTGAAAGACATGATTGTGGTTCAAGTATGCGTACCATATGTATCATCTGTGCGTACTTTTCCCGTAAGGACCACAGCATGGTCGGCACCCGTACAATTTACTCCAGGGCTCCAGACCCCTGGCATCGGAGCCCTGGACATGAAAATGGAGACCGATAGACGTACAACAAGAGCAACAACACGACACCAGTGGACCGACCGCTTCTCCTCCATACTGTTGTTATTATATATCTTCCTATTTTTCTCCCCAAGTCCCCATCTCTCCGACTAAATACGGCGGGCGGGCGTGTGTAGACGTGTCTTTTCATCAAATACTTTTCATTGGTCAGGCGTTTAGAGCAGTCGACGCAAATAACAAAAACAAACGTTAACATGCCACGTAAGCCTCACAATGCAAACAAACACACAGGTCGTACGGCGGCGCCCTACATGCACAAGCTACGATAGCCGTAGCGGCAGTGTTCGGATACCACTGGCCGGCTGGAGCACTAAGAGACGCCCCTCGCACGCCAATATTGTTGAGGTGCCCTCTCCAGAGCACCGAAATACGGTACAATACGACACAGACAACACACTCCCTGGACAAATTTTCAAAGCTCGACTACGCCATGACGAAGAAGATGAACAAATTAAACTATACTTTCTCGGAAAGCTCTCGACGAGACAGCTTCAACGCCACCGTTTTCGGCGCTGTGACTCTTTCTGTTACTACTGAGAAAATCGAGATTTGAAAATTGGTCCTGGGGGTGTGTTATCTTGTGTCTTTTACGGAAAATTTTCTTGTCTTGGACGCGATCATTTGTCCTTGGGTTTCCGACTGCACTTGGAGCAAGTCTCACATATATATCGCGGGGAACATCTTTCTGTCCTCGTCTGGATTCCATCTTCCACTTTTTCTTCACGCATATTTCTCTGAGCGGGTCAGGTGCCCGTCTTGATGTGCTACGTAGGCACGTACCCCATTATGCTGCGTGAGATGTCACACCCACCCCCTGTTGTACCGGTTTTAGAAGCTCCATTCCATTGCTCCACGACGAAGAGGATGCCGAAATTGAAGGATGGATACGTTTTCGGAAAGCCCTCGACGAGACGATTCCAACGCCGCCATTTTCGGCACCGTCACTTCTTTCCTGCCGAGATATCGAGTTTCGACAATCGGTCCAGGGGTGTGAAATCTCTTGTGACCAATGTACGGTACGCATACCCGGTTCGTCGTGGGCTTGACAAATTTCCGTGCAATTTCGTCTTGTGCATTCATGTCTCTGCTTTCTTTTCGTATTTCACTTCAAATCAGCTTTACAGCGTTGGTGCCGTTTACTCCAACCTGTGGTCACACAGAAGTGTACCATGTTTTGTCTACTTCTCGATGAACATGGGGTGCAAACTTCTATTTGCGAACGCAAATGCAACGATTCTTCATTTCTGGAGGGAAAAAGAGGTGGTTTCTGGAGAGAGAGAGAGAGAGAGTCAGACAGCGATTATTCCTTAACTCAGGGGGATGTGACTCATCGTGATCAATTTTCGTAAATATCTAACTCACCTGCGGAGAATAAATGAATGTAGTCTCCTTTGGGTTTCCCCTATCTTACAAAAAGGAAACCCGGGTGGAGGTGTGTCACTTTTGGGGGAGAACCACGACTACAGTAGTTTCGTCGAGTTCAAGAACAAGCGAACATCAACTTCTCTCTGTCTGACTCTCTCTCTCCAGGTCCCCAAGTATTATGCATATCACGTTGGAAGGGAAAGTAAGTATATTTTTTGCATACTGATCGCGCGAGACGACTTCCCTCCCTTCCGCGCAACAACCCAAGCATTCAAAAGGATGGAGCAGAACGCACCACCCACGGAAGGAATAAGTCGAAAGACAGACAAGAAGGAACGGCAACAAAACATATTTCGGACTGTAGATGTGGGGACACACCCATCACACAATGGAAAAACCACAACAGACAAATGCTACACGACAGACACCGCCGCACAGAAAACAGGCCAGAGAGAGAGGCGCCGACAGGCAACCATCCGTCCGCACAGCAGACACTGGAACTACCGTTGTTATCAACACCTACTTCAACAATTTTGAGTTGACTTCCACCTACACAAGGAAACACGCCTCCCTTCGGAGGGGGGGTACGCAGACAGGATCTGCATCATCACTACATAGACAGTCTATGTATGCCCCCCTCCCCCGCACAAGACAACTTGGCAATCAAGAACTTCATGCTCGACGGCATATGGCATCAAACATGAGAACGTGGATCCCCGTTTGGCGAGCCCGGGAAAGAATCGCTCTGCACTGAAACAAACCAATAGAGCGGGGTCATTTGAGGCCGCCGAAACGAGGAACTAAGAAGACCCAAGCCTCGGCGAAACCTGACAGAGGTGGCTCTCATCTACATACATGCATGCGCCCATCACAAGTTGAAAGCGAGAGCTGTGTAACAACGTGTGCAACGTCACAACAACGCCAAGGGCGAAGGAAGCGAGGCCACAAGCGCACCAACGCGCCGCACACACAACCCAAAACAAATTTTTCTACTAATGTGCCACACGGTTAATACACCTTTGGGCGCTTGGTAGCAAAAATAAAACAAACAAGGTGGTGATACCAAGGGCACAAGACAAGTGTCCAAGGCAGGTGATGGCAAGGGCGCCAAATGACAGACGCCGAAAGCAAGCGGAGAACGCGGCACAATGAGCCCGACACGCGAGTTCAACAAAAGCTCAGGCACTACAACAGCATGCAGCTCGTGAGCGCGCAGCACTTGGGTTAGGGGTCCATAGTGCCGGGGTGTGTCCCGGGGAGATTTTACCGGCACTATTCAGAGTACAGAACGACTTGGTATTTCAGCGTGTGCGAGCTGAAAACACCGAACCGGCACTAGCCACTCAACCGGCACTATCGACGGCCCCCCACTGCATTTTCATACGTCGGCCTGGCCTCTCTACCGACACGACTATCCCTCGAGACCTCACCATGGACAGGCTCAGCCGCCTCCACCCACACGTGTAAAGACGTCTACTCTATACGTGCTCATCACCGATCGGTACGAGATTTTGCAGCAGAAAAAAAAGGGCCCATTCGCGAGAGTGAGAAACAATCACTAAGCGGCCCACCAAACCCAACCCCTGCTGAGACGGAGATCCCGTAAGACCTCAACAACTTGGGGCAGGGTTAACCGCTCAAACACAAAGAGCGCGGAATACATTTATATCCTCCGGCGTGAGAGTATATACATCGTAGAAACAAAAAAAGCAAAACCTTGCGTTTTAGAGCGAGAACGAGGCTCCAATACAGGACGGTCCCAAAAAAAACGAGAACTGGGAGGCGAACTGGGAGGCAGTGCATGTGTACTGGAAATAAAGCAAGCAAGCAAGCAAGCAAGCAAGCAAGCAAGCAAGCAAGCAAGCAAGCAAGCAAGCAAGCATGTTCGCACACGAAACAGCCCAAAACCGAAAACACCAAATCGGGTGGGCGGCGGCGATTCCCCCTTCACGGTGTCCGCGTTGAAAAAAACAAAAAAAAGGCAAGCTTGGTGCAACACAAAGACAAACGGCCTACTACCCAGCCAACCATAAAACCAAAAACACGAACATCGGGCGGATAAGACCCCCCCCCCGCCCCCTGCTCACGCCTTATGCGACCGTGTCCGTGTTGCAGCACGGCGTGCCCGAGCTGCCCATCACTTCTGGCGGAGTCTTGGCGCCCGCGTCGCGGAGGGCCGCCCGACGTCGACCGGCGGACCACCGGAGGGTGAGCAGGTGCCCCGTCGCGAGGCCCGAAATGATCATGATGAGGATCACGTACTCGTAGAGCATCACCAGCAGCTGTGATTATGACGGTTGAGAAGGGGCAACGCACACGTGCAAGAGGAGGGGGAGGGGGAGGGGGGGAAGACGCGAGATTGTCAGCGTGAGGACTACGCACAGAGCATCACCAGCAGCACGGGAAAAACGTGTGTGCGGGCGGGGGTACGAGAATATCATGATACAAGGATCACGCTATCGGAGAGCAACAGTAGAAGCTGTGATCACGGTCATCGATCAGAGGCAGGAGACACAACAGAGAGGCACGCGCTCGCGCGCCCCTCCAGCAGAAAAAAAAAAAGAAGCAAATGCACGTAGCGTTGGACGAAACGGGTTGGCAGGGGGGGGGGCGGCGGGCGACCCTACAATGAGATGGATCGTTCACACGGATGGAAAAACCTGGCACCGGAAACGCCAGGACGGCAGAAAAACCATCGCGTATTGAAGGAAAACAATTCCCAAACAGAGAACAAACTGACGAAGCCAACTACCAAGAAAAGCTCGTTCAGGATGAGAGCCACATGCCATGAGGCCAGGAATATCTGTCCATTTTCGGACTACAGTATTTATCAGGAGGTTTTATTATGGCGACAGTCCCCGTCATTTTTCGGGTGAGACGTGAACTACACTATTGGGTGTATTTTTTCGTACAATTACAACCGTCAGGGGTCACAACATCTGCACTGGGAAAAAACTACCAACAAAAATGCCATCTCGCTCACGATGACAGCATGAAACATGAGCACGGGGAAAAACGACAAACACGCAAAGCTATCTCGCTCACGATTAGAGCATGTACAGTAGGACAGGAACATCTGCACGGCAAAACCAACAGAGATGAAAAGCTACTGTAGCTCCCTCACCATGAGCATGTAGGCCAGGTATATCTGCACCGCGAACGCGGCGGTCATCTTCAAGTCTGACGCGAGGGATACGTCCGAAGTCTTGGCCATTCTATCGCGTCCGTACCTGTGTGTGGAATCGATATTGGGTGTGGCGTTGTGTGGAACGAGCCGCCCCAACAAGGGAGACAGGTAGGGGGGGGGGAGAGAGAGAGAGACGGGAGGGAGGGAGGGAGGGAGGGAGGGAGGGAGGGAGGGAGGGAGAAAGGAAGAGGAAGAGAGGAGGGAGGGAGAGAAAAGACAGTGAAGCGAGTAAGAGAGCAGTGGGCGCAAGGGTTGGAAGTACAGATGATCCAGGGAAAAATTACTCCTCCTGAACATCCCATCAAAAAAAGAAACAAAGCACGGGCAGCAAGAAGTACATTAGTCGCTACTATCGCAGATCGCCCACTGCACCTCACCACTTCTGAATCTCGTTGGTCGTTTGGGGAGCACGTCCGGCTGGAGTTGGACGCTACGCCGAATATACAGGTCGAAGAAAACGACGGAACACTGTCCGATCATGGAGAGTCCCTCTCGTACAAGGACATGTCTCAAACGTATGCACAATGACCGAAGATACCACACCCTCTGGACCAATTTTCGAAGCGTGACATCTCGGCAACGTAGACGTTACAGAACACGCCAGCACGTGAGCCAAAAAAAAAAAAGAAACTCGCCCAAAGAACAACGGTTGCTTAGTCAAGAAGCCCACAGACAAAAATCAATATTGTCGCCGCGGGGGGTGCCCCACAGAGAAAGTTAGAAACGTCAAAGAGGTTTTGAAAGTGGTGGAGGGACGTTCGGTAGATGTCCGAGCCCATGATATACGCCTGGTGGTAGTGCAGTGGTTCATAAAGCAGTGGAGCGTTCGGTAGTTGTCCGAGCCTGTGCGGTAGTGTAAGGAGGTTCATAAAAAGTGGAGTAGCGTTCAGTAGTTGTCCGAGCCTGTGCATGCGCCTGGTGGCAGTGCTGCCGAGTTTCCATCCACCCGACTTTTGGAGCCATGGACAACGACGACGCCAAACTCTTGGACCATGAAGAGCCCCGCTCATACAACGGAGGTCTCTCAAGACAACCCGACAACGCCGTAGGTTTCATAAGATATCACACCTCCAGGACCAATTTTCGAAGGGTGACATCTCGGCAGGAGAAGCAGTGACGGTGTCGAAAATTGCGGCGTTGGATCGGTCTCGTCGAGGGCTTTCCGAACACGTATACTTCAGCTTCGGCATCCTATCGAGCTTTGAACATCGATCCAGGGGGTGTGGTAATTTCCGTTATGCCACCTACGGTAAGGAGTTACCTTTACCTGTCCAAGCCTACGCCTGGTGGTGGTGGTGGTGGTGGTGGTGGTGCTTACCGGATCATCTCATTTGCGAAGCCCATGAAGAAGGCCCCGAGTGCCGCGAAGGCGTACTTTGTCTTGGTGTCTACTCCGGCTCCCTCGAACAGGAAGAGGATGCAGTTCACGCTGGCACTGGTAGCCGACTGTTCACAAAAAAAAAAAAAACGGCGGGCGCCGGACGGGGGCAAATAATAATCGTTTAGCGATGACCTACGCAGGTTGAACAAACAGATTTGATGAATAACATTAGCGGTTACGTTCGGGTTGGCAGTCCTCGTTTAGACGCCCTACTGTAGAGGTGTACCCCCCTTTGGGGGCAGTTGGCTTGTGACCACGGAAGGCGTCCGCGTCAGTTGACGGAAGGCGTCCGCGTCAGTATAGTACGGACATTAGAAGGTACTGAGTGGAGACCGGAACAGTTGTTTAATGTCAAGATAACAACAACACGTGGGCTTTACGGTACACTACTGAAAGGAACGGCTGAATGGCCCCTTTTCGCGATAAAAACTTACGGCAGGCACCGCAGAGGTAGCTAAAGGTGGGGTACGGAAAACGACGCATTTTCGGGTGATTGCGTACATTGACATCCCACTCCGGAAGCCCCTTTTCTCTCTCACGGATATTACACGATATGGTCATCATGCTGTCTTGAGCCTGTTAACTACAGGGCATTCATGCAATGATCCCATGCCGTTGCGATGGTGCCGGCTGGCCTCACCGGTCCTTCACTGCGTACAGCAGTTGGTCGACACACCCTGCTAAGACTTGAGAACATCCCTTCGATTGGGTATGATCTCGAACGGGTACAGTAAATCATAGTCTTTCTTTTCTGCGTTGCACTTGTTTTTATCCACAGTTGTCCGTGCAAATACGCCAATACAATACTTCGAGTATATAGCAGAGGGGGTCCCTGAATAAGGCGGGTGAAAGAAACTAGCCGCGACAGACGGAATACGCAATTTGTTCTACAAATACAATATGTGCTGCCTTATTTGGAGGCTAAAATTGGCTGGTACAGACGGAAGAAGCAATTTGTTATACACATTGAAAATGTGCCGCCTTGTAGGCCGGTAAAATTGGCTGGCAAAGACGGGATAATCCATGTTGTTCTTCATATCGAATAGGGTGGCTGCCCCATAGAACGTGGTCATGTATTATCAGCTGCACCACAACGGCATGTGGCACACATCAACATGGTAGAATTATAATCTCAAGCTTCTCGCTAGACAGCAGTAAGTTTATCGAGGAAATACAAGATGTGTAGGGGGCACGCAAATCCTATTCCCTTGTACAATCCTATAACCCAACTTCCCGGATTGAATGCTGTATCTTCATCCAACATGTTTGCTTTTGATAGAAAAACCTGCCAAGGCTGCGGGCAACGCATCCGTCCTACCGTGGTTGAGTAACACGTAAGATACCACACCCCCTGGGCTGGTTCTCAAAGCTCGACTGGCAGACCGCAACCATGGAGGTGACGCTGCCGAACACGTCAGGGATTTTTGAACCGTCTCTTTCGAGAGAGCTTCACGGGAACATGCCATGCCACTCCGGGAAAAAAAAATTCGTGCGGAAGAGTCAAAGACATTCGAACCGTCCCTTCCTCGAGAATCTTTGCGGAAACGTGTCATGCGATAACGGCAAAAGCAACTGTTTCAAGATGAATCGGGGTATTTGTAGACACGTCTGTTCGAGAGCGCATTGCGGAAACGCGTCATGCAATTTCGACATTTTTATTACCGATAATGATTGTTCATCTTTTCGTCAATTCAACAGAAAAACCGAAAAGTCGGCGCCGGTGTGGACGTACGACGCGTGATTGCTTTTGATTCAGCAGCGCTTCGCGTTCCTTCAGGGGAAAATTTCTGTTTGCAACCAAACAAGCGCGTCAGAAACGCATCCGCCCCGCGGAATACCGCAAAACGATAAATCATGAGCGCTGTTGTGCGGACGATTACTGTTCGCGTTCGGCTCGAAGTACTTACAATTCACCTGGTTCTCCCGTGGAAAGCCGTTTTGCAAAAGAAAAAACATTAATCGCGTGGGCGCACCACAACGCACTGTCGGGAGGGAGTGCATCTCGATCGATCCGAAACAACAATTCTTCAACATACCAAACGAGATGAAGCAGCAACAATGCTGCTTTGGTCGTACGCGAGTCGACTGACTGACCGTAATGATGCAGCAACAACGCTGCCTATGGTCGTACTTAGTAGAGTCGACGTGCGGCGGATTGAAGTCGAGATGTTGACGCGACTACACTCTCTGTTCGTTGACCGAATAAACGCGAGATCACAGGTGACAACACTGCACATGGCTCTCTCGGTCCACGGAAGCGCGCCACGGGAGGTTTCGCTTTATCCACACAGCTCAAAGGGCAGCACAGCCAACATGTCTGCCCCCCACGTGCAGGGACACACCCCGTTCTTGGTGCCGTCTCTCCTCCTTGCCCAACATCGACAAGCCGCCCGCCCAGCACACTACCATGTACATCACGGTTGGGTGCTGGCAGCAAGAAGACAAGATATCACGCCGCTACTACTGCTGCTGCTCTGCTGTTTCCATGCGACAGCTAACCACAGCATACGGCGCTGCCCGCTCCTCCACACGGACAGCTGCCATCACGGCTCTTCACAGGCACGTATGCAAATATATGATACCATAGATACATGATGATACGATACGGCTCGTGCGGTGAGGTTTTTCCTGTGACAGTCACGAACAGCATAAGGCGAACGCTGCCCGCCCCACACTCCACACGGGTAGGCTTCCATCACGGCTCTCACGTAGGCAGGTAGATAAGACCATACGCTACCACTTCCTGCTGGTGCTGTGCTGTTTCGATGTGGCAGCCAAGAGCGCCCAGCTACAACGGCGAAAGTCGCGAACAAACCTGAAATCCCATGAGCATGACCGTCCCGTCTCCGTTGCAGAACTGATCTCCCATGTCGGACATGCTGCTCGCCATGCTGCTCGCGTCAGATCCGTGGCTTCCGTGGTCGTGCGACATCTTGGAGAGGTGTGTACGTGGGGGTGCTACTGCTGCCGATGTGTTTGGCCGTGAGGTTGTAAGCGACAAGAGGCGTGTGTGATGTTACCGAAGCCAAGCAAATTCTACACCGAAAAATAACAGGTTTGGGGACACATGAAGAAACGCCAATCTTCCTTTTTCAGGGGACACGAGCAGGATATCCCCTCCTGCGGGGTAATCTTGTCGGGCGAGCGACAGCCGCATCCATGTTTCCAGCGCATGCCGGTACCACTACCACGCGTGTGGGTGTGATCTAGACACGTCTACCTATGCCAACGCCTACCAATGAAGAAGGGAGCATCCCGCCGGCTGCACAAGTAGCTGCAGCGATCTCTCCGTGTGTCTCCGCAGTAAAAATTTTGACATAGTACAAGCGAACAACCCCGACCTCGGCAAAAAATGGGTGTGTAAAAACCCGTTCGACTGTGGGTATATCTCGAGTGGGTAGTCTTTCTGTGTGTGTTTTTATTATTCCGTAAAACTTCTATGCACCAGCACAACTAGCAGCAACATTATCCGAAATCTCAGCACCGACAACACGGGCAGGGCATATGGCGAAAAGGACGAACAGACGAGACGCGCCACCACCATCGACTATCATGCTCACCCAGGACGCTGGCTTTGGAGAACAAATCATGGCGCGGGCACCCACTAAAGTTTGGTGACAACACCCAACACCCTATAAAACTGATGCTAAAAGGTTTGTTGTTGGCCCCTGCCGAAGAGGTACACATCATGGACACAAGAGCTCGGAGGGATCTCATATCTGTCTGCAAATTAACGTAGCGAGCTCTACCAAACGCCACGAGTGGAAACGAGTGACGAGGTGAGGAGATTACGCCCGCACGTTACCTTTCGGCACGTTTTTTGTCAAGACGAGGCCGGCTGGTTGCGATCGAGGCGATGTGTTTTTTTCTGCTTCTCCGGAGCGTGTAGACTACATGTACCGTGTCAGTACTGTAAGTTGGGTTAGGCGGCCGCCCGTCGATTAGGCGGGACGGCCACCTGGAGGCACAATGACCGCCGCACATTAGCCGTGCATTTGCCGGAACGGACATGGCGGTTGATAGTCCCCGACTAAAGAAGAGAAGGTTGCGCATTGTGTATGTACGTTGGAAAAATGATGTAACAGCGGAAAAAAAAAATGACGGTATCCTGGAACCGGACACACACGTACCACAAAAAAACGCAGCAGTCGCACCTCTCCAGCCCTTCAGTAGTACAACCGACCTTTCGACAATACTGCTGTGCATAACGTCCCTATCCACCACGCTACTCTGCGCCCCTCCCTCGAGTAATTTACCAACCATGTGCACGGGGCGTTTTTCCGCAACTCGTTCGTTCGTGTATGCATACTGCTTACTGTACAAGTACCGTAAGTACAGCAGTCCCCTGCAGCGAGACATATTTCGAGTTGAGTTGGCGGGAGATAAGCTTTTTGACTAGGGTACTGCATGTACTGTACTAGCTGAACTGCTTGCTAAATAAACTGCGAGATGCTCTGCCGCGCTCGCCTCTTTCTCACGCATCACAATCAATACATCGGAGCAACCACAAACAAAAGAGAACGAATGTTTGTTGGGCCTCTTGGCCTACGGCAAGCGGCGCCGACTCAAAGGCCACGAGCAACAAACTACAAGGCGCAATCGTGAACCAAGAGATCGTTCGTGTACCCGCAAAGAACCTGTCGCTAGGGGCGATACGGCAAGCGGCGCCGACTCAATGGCCACGAGCAACAAACTACAAGGCACGTTCGTGAACCAAGAGATCGTTCGTGTACCCGCAAAGGACCTGTCGCTAGGGGCGAAATATCAATCCGATTGAAAGTGGTACATGACGTCTCCGTTCCCCTCTACCCCGGCTTGGACCTTTCGGACATCCACACGACCATGCAACAGGTAGGTGAAACTGAACCTAAGACATCCGGAGAGTGTCGGACGTGGTGTGTATGGCGCTCTACGCTGTCGCTTTGCATCGTGTCGTACACTATTTGTATGAATCCTTTCTCTGTGTCGCTCCCATATACCCCGTTTTTTTCTGGGGGGCTGGGAAAGTGAGCACAAGTAAAATATAATGCTGGGGGAAACATGTTACAGTTTATCCGGCATACGCCGGGTACCGCAGCAGGCCCAAAGTGCCAAAATGCCATCAGGGCTTTTTTCTCGTTACACGTTCTCGACTGTCGGCCCGTCCGTCAAGACCCGCAAGGCACGAGACACAAGTGTCTAGGCGGCGTCACCATACGTATTTTCCTTCCTGTCGATGCCGTAGCGCCGCACTTCATTTTCTTACCTCATTCCGTAGCTAGCTGATGTTACGCTAACCACAGCACTGGCAGCACTTGGTAAACAACAAAAAATCAACCAACAACCACCGCCGCCGTGTCTGGTAGCTTGCCGCTTATTTGATCAGGAATCGTTCCGACCGCGTTCTTTCGCCTGTTCACGATCTCACAGCACCCACCACTTCCACATGAATCGGTCAACCAAACTTAACTCACAACTTAATGAATGGCGGGTGACACCCAGCAGCGCTTGACAAAGAAGCGCTTGCTCCCTCAGAAGAAGAGCAATGCGGCTTGTCGGGCCGGCCTGCAGTATTCGGCGTAATCCGGTATGTACGATGTGTGCACATATGCACACATACATTAATCATTCGATAATATGAAGGTACAGTAATTCGAACATCTCTTATCTTTCGAAGGCTTCGATTGTATCGTAAGGCCCATATTCCGTTGCCTCCGACCTTCTCTGTGACCCAGGACAGACGAAATCGGAGGCAATACGAAGCAGGGTAGTGGCGTGGAAATGTTGCCGAATAGCGTGGACTGCCCGGGCAAGGTAGCTTGTCGGAGGGCGCCGCCCTGCAGTCAGAGCTCTTCAAAAATGTGGTCATTAGTCCACTACATACAGCAGTCGTGGCTCCGATACAAGATATACAAGAGGGCGCAATACAAGAGGGGGCGGCATTAGTGAGAGGGCTCCAAACCGTATTTTTCCCCTACCACTGAGCAAAGGCTTCTGTATAGGAATTATTGTAGCGCCGGTCGCTATGCTCAATTTTTTGGGGCAGGTTTGTCCAAAATCTGAGCCTCGTTTTTTCGGGTACACCTCGGTACTAGTTTTTTAGGCGGATTCAGGCGGGGCGGTACTTCAATGTGGCGGTACTTTTTTGGCTGTAGGCGGTATTTCGTTTTCCGGTGGTACTGTCTTTGGCGGTTCCCGGTACTGCCAATTGTGGCGGTACTTTTCTGGCGGTACTGCAATATGGCGGTTCTTTTTAGGCGGTTCCTGGCACTTCGTTTTTCGGCGGTACTTCTCCGGCGGTACTGCAATATGGCGGAACTTTTTAGGCTGTAGCCGGTAATAAATAATTTCGTTTTTCGGCGGTACCGCCTTCGGCGGTTCCCGGTACCACCGAATGTGGCGGTAATTTCGTAATTTCCACCAGTACCGGGACCACCCACCACGGCGGAAAAACAACGGCGGGAATTTTCCCGAGGTGTACCCTGAAAAAAAATAATATTGAAAAAACTACTTGTATAGAAAACATAAAAATATGACGAAAGATAAAAAAGAAAATGAAAAAAGATGAACGAAGATGCAGGCCAGCAGGAATCGAATCGCTGTTCTATGCGGAGTATCGCCCTTCGAACACTCTTCCAGCCTACTTCTCTACCAGGTGCGACAACCTCACAGGCTCGTGCGACATGGCGGTACTTTTACGGCGGCACGGTACTATTTTGGCGGTACTGCAGTACGACGGTACGTTTACGGCGGTACTACTGCAGTACGGCGGTATTTTTTCGGTGGTACTGCAATATGGCGGTACGTTTTAGGCGGTAGGCGGTATTTCCTATTTCGGCGGTACCGCCTTCGGCGGTTCCCGGTACCACCGAATGTGGCGGTAATTACCGCCAGTACCGGGACCGCCCACCACGGCGGGAAAAAAACGGCGGGAATTTTCCCGAGGTGACCCTGTTTTTTTCCGAAGATATTTCTTACGAGCGAGCCAGCACCGTAGTTCGCGACTGCACCAACCGACATACAGAACGGTCCCACCGTTAAGAGAATTTCGCTGAGAAACAGAGACTCTATTGTCATGGCCTGTGCTTGACAGCAGTGGCGACCAAAAATGAAACTGAGCCTCGGTCCAACTATAACGCTTCTTGTTTCCGGGCCTCCTCTGTAGTTTGCACCAGCGAAAGCATGGCCCTTACCAAGACAGAACGAACGCGATAGGTGGCAGTCATCGTCAATGTCGGGGCATAGGCGACCAATTTGAACCGACATCACTGCAAAACAGATCGCAACCGTTTCACAACGATTACCGCTATCCTAACGGAAATAGTGCCCTCCATGGTACCCAACACGCAAGACGATGTTGGCTCACACAGCTTGAAGTTCATGTTGTTGTATAGTCTTTTCACGACAGATGCAATCACACTGTGCAAATGAGCCTCCAACCCCAAGTTTCAATATCGTTTCTGCGACGGATGACCTATCCAATTTATGGCCGCGGTGGTACTGTGAATGCCAGGCGAACTAGTTCCAGCCTGGGGAGTCCGTATGCCCAAGTGTCCACGGTCATTAGTCAACAGGCTTTCGATTTCGCAGAGGTAAGCATAGCTTTGAAATGACGCCAATAACGCTGTAGCCTTCGCATGGAATTTCTACTTGGTTGCAGTAGGGGGCACGGGGTGGGGTTACGAGCCAGGGACAGGGTTAAGGTTAGGGATACAAAGTCCCTCTTTCAAATTCATAGATTCACTCTCTCGCAAAGGCCATCCCTGAAATGTCCCAACGTAGCAATGTCAAACCAGGCTCCCATTCAAAATGAAACGTGAGTTAACGTCGCGGGAACACATTCACAAAACCATACCGGAAGTTTTGCGATACACAAAACCCGGGTTGCGGTAAAAAATCCCAACGGTGGCCGGGACCCGACATCAGAAGCCGTGGTTTCGACAACGATTTGAAGACCAAAGACATCTCGTGTGTCTACCGCAGAGACCTCGGCTATCACAACGATATCTCGATTTCACTCGAAGGTATCGTCATGTTCAATCCTGCTGAAATCATTGCACTGCGCGCTCCACGACTCAATGGGCGGCCTATTACTCAAGTAAATGATGAGGTTTTCGAGTGAATCCTCGCCATTGGTACGGTCGGGAAGGTTGCAAATATGTACGTGAGTTCGCAAATCAAGTATTTCTTGTCTAGGAGTAGGAAACCCCAAAGAATATATATATTTTTTTCACAGCTATAAGGACGCTGACCCCACCACGTTCCTCGCTTTCACACGTTTTCGCTACTACCACCGGACTCAGATATTCAGCAACATCGGGGGCTTCTGGGTTTAGTGAACTGCAACACTCACAACCAACCATGGTCATTTTGCCGAGGCACCTGAGGCTGTAGCTGTAGCGCCGCTTGTTCTTACAGAATGGAAACCGGAACTCCTTTGTATCGACTAAACTCTGTCTACGTTCATCCCACTGTCGGTGCCTTATGTACGATGACGTCTTGGTAACAGTTGCTTCGCCGACCGCAATGGACGTGTTCTAGAGCGGGACAACTTCCACACATTCATTTAGTGGATATCGAATAACGCCCACTGATAAATAGATTCTCGGTTGCCCTCTTCCAGTGGTCCATTTGTTTTCTCTCCGTCATTGCGCGATTTGGAGGTCGAGCTTCCGCTCTGTTCGTGCTGCGACTGATTTCTCCTTCCGATGGATGGATTTCAAGAAGGTGCACAATCATCAGGCTGTGCTAAATATTTCGTACGTGCATCCAAGTCTGACGAAGAACTCATACTCCGTCGGCAGCCATTTTGATGATGTTTTGAGATATTGACGCATTCCATGGGTCACGAACCAGCTCACTAGTTCTTGGAGCGTATTTTCCTACGTGCAGCTGCCGTACAAACGGATTTCTCTCCCCCCGTGTTTCTTCTCCGTGCTCCATGAACCACGGTCAAAGCAGGCCTGCTCATGATATCCTTGCCAGTATTCATTGCCATGTCTTCCCAGGACTCCGCCCTAAATCGGAGTTTTCGGAAATCGTTGTTGAAGGGCGCCGAAGTTGCAGCCGGCGTGACGGTCTCCACCTCGGCTAGAGTTACCTTGTCCTTCAGTAGTGGACGAGGCGGACCCTTCCAGAGCGACACAGTATCGGACGAATAGTACAAGTGGAAGCAGCAGCAGCACAGAACAGCCAGCTTCCGGTCGAAACGAGCCCTTGTGCGGTGCGGTAGGCTTTCCGGAAAGGAGCAGAGGGGGATCACCCCTCACCGTCGGCCGATGGGGCTGATTCCGGAAGACTCGACCCCTCCTGCGGGGTGGTGGTGGTGACGGCGCCGAGGGCGGAGGCATCAACAGAGGTGGCAGTGGGCGACGCAGATCCATCCTCTTTGGATGGTGATGTTTTCGGCAATATTGGTGATGGAGAGTCGGCCGGTTCCTGTAGGAAAAGAAGTGTACATGAGCGACAATTTCAAGTTGGCGATAGGTCGAAAAGAGTCGTCCGTGGAGTGGACGGCGATGAGCGTTATGACGCCCTTGTTCCCGCCGCCTTACATCTTCAGGTTCGGTTTGATTCAGCCTCAATGGCTCGTAGGTCCCCCATCCAAGGCTGATGACCTCCTCCCGAGTTACACCATATCTGATACTTCGTACAACGATAGCATCCGAACCCAGATTCATTTGGAGACAAGAACGTTCGATAACTGCCAACCCGAACGCGCGCATCATTGTGAAACTCAAAAGCGGGGAGTGACTTCGTGCCTAATTCGAGTCGGCGGGATAAAATCGACGCAATAACAGAGATTATACATAGGCCTTACACCTTACCGCAGTGGCGGTCTTCTTTCCATTTTCGAACGGTTCTTCACCCCCGGCCAGCGTTTCTTCGGCTCTGGTTTTCTTGACCTCCACAATATCCTCCTTTTTCGGTCGCATCAGAAGGAGAGCATTTCTCGGTGTCATGCCCGATCGTTGTTGAGGGGGTAGATTGTGCGTCCGAGGGCACTGTCGTGTTCTTAATCGCCACGGCATCCTCACACATGGCTAGCTTGGCGCCTCCCACACCCTTCATGTAGGTGCCATCGATATAGGCATTGGCTACGATGATGGCAGCTGGGGTGGTCCACTTCGCCTGAACGGGCGCTAAAGGTTGGATCGGGAGGGTCAGGGCCCCTTGGATTCATTCATTCTTTTCTGAAACGGCACCAGGGGAAAAAGCGCACGCGCGAACGCACGAGCAAGGGACAAAAGTAGTCTACCGGCGAAGCCAGGATTTTTTGGAGGGGGCGCATTGAACCAGTCTCTTCGTTTGATCAATGCGATCAACCAATGACTTGATGCTTCCTCGTGCAACGTGGACAGCATACCCCAGCCGAATTGGGCAAGAGCAACATCTGCTTTTTTTTTTTCCAACCTCGTGTTGGAGGCACAGTGAATACCGTTGAAGTTCCAGCATAGCGATGTGAACGGAAATGTTGCTGCCGATACTCGAAAGTCTACAATATTAAGGGTCTGCACTCCGGTACGAATATCGTTGGCTGGCGGCACGGACACGGTTTCGTCTGATTTCTGTTGGCCGGCACGGTGTTCAATATTTCACTTCGTAGAGGCCGACCACTTTCACAAAACTTGACGCGAATGGGTTGAACGATGCTGCCCACACTTTATCTCTTCAACATCATCCTCCTCAAGCTTACCCGTCGATGATCAAACCAACACCTCTTTACCTCCCCAAGTACCAGGCCTTTCTCATCATGAGCAGCATCGGCAAAAGTAGAATCATCGGCGGCGCCAGTGGTATGGCCTGCGATCGCTTGGTCGTTCGGGGGAAAGTCGTTCGATCGCGACTCGCGCGTACTGGCGGAGGTCTCCCGCCCGGAGATATTCACTCGCCCTTCGACCACAAATAACACCGTTCAGCTGAGAACCCGCTCCATCCTTCGTTCTGTCGATCACCGCCGATTCTCGGCTGTGGAGACGCTAACAGAAGAGGGGATAGACGTCCCTGAAATATCGGGCGCAGGGGAAGTCTCCGCGACCACCAACGTGTCGGCAAGGACCCCGATGCCGCTTGCTTCCGTTGTCGCGTGGGTCAGGACGAGCGTGTGACAGCAGGAGGGGTGGTCGAACTGGTCGTTCCGCTTTCGGCAAGATCATCTTTCGCGGCTGGAACATTCCCCTCTGTCGCGAGTGTAGCAGCCTCGACAGCACCAAAGGTCTTTGCGCCCGTCGGAGGCGTAGAGATCTCGGTAGCACCACTGGCGATTGTCTTTGTATCCGTGCACGGAGTGAAGGTCTGGTGGGAACCGACCTTAGGTGTGGCCGCAGCACGCACGACCTGGCCGGGGTCGGCTTTTGATGGATGCGCAGCGTTTGATTCCGCGATGTTCGCGTCGGCATTGGTCACAGCCTTGGATGTTGGAGGAGCAGTAGGTGCCTTCTCACTTGCGACCATCGTGGCCAGGTTGGCCTCGGTGCAAGCTGGCATCGCCGGTACCTTGGTAGCAACGCTGGCTTTCTCCTTGGCAGCGGCGGCGGTGGTCGTGTTCCTTGTGCTCGGCATCTCCAAGCATGCTGTGGTTGGTAATGACACAAGCAATTGCTTCTGTAGCTCATGGTTATGTCTCGACACTCAGAGTGTCGTACGTGAAGCGGTATTGCTTGCGTGAAGCAAAATAACTCCGGGCGTGACATCTGATAGCACACATTCCCACGGAGATCACTTTCAACAGGAAAGGTCAGGGGCGCTCTTAGCGTGCGGGATCCGAATAGATGGTCGGTCGCGTCTCGTAACCCCTTCACTCCCAAGGCATGTGGTCTGGTGCAGTGCTCTCATCCCCAACGGCATATCTGCCATATCGTCTCCTAAAAACCGAAAATTGCTTAATTACTTGAGATTGTATGGATTAATTAAATATGCCAGAGCAGTGGCAAGTGTGAGAGGATTCGTAGAAGAACTGTTCCTCCGTACACGATTTCGCTCATACAGAAGCCGGGCTGCACTGACTGACACCTGGTACCAAGGCTATTCGTTGTTTTTTTGCTGTTGAGAAAGGAGTTTTTCATCATGAGTTGTATCGAAGTGTGGGGCGCGTATGTGCTAGGGGACAGACTTCTGTCCGTGAGCTTACCTACCTTGAGTTCGGTTCCACCGACTTTGGCGATTTTTGCACATGTCCAAAGAGCGACGACCGCAAGGCGCTTGCGTCCGAATTAATTGATCCTGCCTCCATATGTACTCCCCAAACCCAAAAACAATTAATTAAATCAAACACCCCCATATATATTCTATTGTGTGATGCACGATGCCATGGTGAAATGAAACGTTGAAATAAGGGTACAAGTGTATTCGTTCTGGGGCATGCGCAGGCCCAAAATGCTTGCCGAGGTATGAACGTAGAATGAAAGAAGCATACCGCAAGACGTGCAAGATACCACACTCTCCCAGGCCGATTTTCCAAGCGCAACTCTCTGTAAGAAAATTAGATAGCGAATTCCAAGCACGATTGCCCTCTGCAAGAAAAATTGATAGCGAATGACGATGTTGTCGCCGTCTGGTCGAGAGCTTTCCAAAAAAATAATTTTTGGTCATGGCACCCTGTTCATGGTGGAGTAGTCAAGTTTCGAAATACCGGCAAGAGTGTGGCGCACACAACCTACGTAACATCATCGTCAAAAAAGAAAAACATAATTTTCTGTGTTGGAGAGTTCTGTGTTGGAGTTCTGTGTTTGAAAATACCCATGGCGAGACATGTGCTGCTACTGTACATTACGCCTGAGCAACACGACTCAATAATAATAGCGTATAGTATCTTGGCTTGTCTGTGATTTCCAGATATATTAGGGAGGAAACGACGAATATTGTGGATTCATTCGTGGGAGAAGTTTGAATTCGTTGCTCACAATCTCAGCAGGGTGTATTTGTATTGGAAAACGAGTTCTGTGTTTTCGCTGCGCCACCGGGTTTCAGTGAATGAGCTCCTAGCGCTAAGGAATCCGACGACGATGTGAGCAGCGCTGCGTGACAACAGACGCCGCATGACGACCGAAATTTTATAATCTATTGAAGGAATGGTTGGTTGTGTTGTCCAGGTGATAGATTTTTTCGTCTGTGGTCGCAAGCAATCCTGACCCCCGGTAGTATGGTTAGAGAGACGAGGTGGAGGTGGTAGAACATTTTGCAAGATTCACACGGCGTGGAGGGGTCACTTCCTTCCTCCTACGGAATATTGACACAGCCATGCAGGCAACAAATGGTGCGGTTCGAGTTCCTACGCGTGCGCAATGCTTGGTTTCATATGCGGACGAGTTTTCTGATGGCAACTGCTCAAAACGCACGTATTTATTGGTGTAGGTAGATGCAGGCCGTTTTCACATATATATACTGTACAGTAGACGACCTTCAAAGTTTCTTGCCGGCATCAGAAAAAAATCGCATGGTATCGATCGGCCTTCAGAAAAAAATCACATCGCTGATGAAGGTGCCGCTTTCTCCTAGAAGACTTCTCGGTCCCGAGACTCGGCTACACACACAAAATATATTTCTTTTGGATTCCCCCTCGGCACCCGCCACACGTATCGTAGTGAATACGGTACCGCGGATTCGACGTATGTTCCACCCGCGAGCACCTCGAAAATTGGCTGTTTTGTTTCGCATGTGACAAAAACTCAAAGTCGAGCCTCCCGCCACTTTAACATCCTGGGAAACTTTCACACGCCCAGATGTTGTGTTTAGCGCATCTCTTAACTCTCATTATTGGACATTCGAGACTCCACTTACACTGTTTGGTGCGTTGTTGGTCAACGAGTAGCTACGACGCGGGAGGGTATGGACAATGAATGGTGTTACATGACTCCCAACAGGGAGTGCTACTTTCGGAACGGAAGGATCGCAGTGTTTGGTCGTTATCTGCATTAAATCACTTGGCACTCATTTTCTCATTTTTTTTTTTTTTTGTTCTTCACTTCAAATCAGCGCTCACAGCACTAGTGCCGTTTATTCCAACCCGTGGTCACACAGAAGACCCTCTCTCTACCCTCCCCTCCTGCGGTACTTCGCCTTCAATTTTGAATGCGAGAAGAGTTCAGCACTCTCTTCCCTCTGTGTACACACGAACTAGCGCTATCCACTTGGCCAGGAGCGGAAGCGAGAGAAAAACTCACCTTGCAAGAAAAGCTCGCCTATGCCGGGATTCGAACCCCTGACCTGACCTCAAGAAGGTTACGAGGCTACCATATAGAACACCGGGGCGACCGGCCTCTTACCTCATCGCAAACACGTTCGCAACATCCCGCGCAGCCTTTTTACGCCTTCCTGACGATTTCATCTCAACCCTGAACAACCATACACAAGGAAAACCCGTATACTTCCGATAGCTCTACTCCAGTACTACCGTACATCATCGGTGACTCCCCGTAGTGGAGACGATTTTACCAACACATGGATGGATGACTTGGCTCAGTTTCACTGGTCAGGCGAATTCATCACGACAGGTTTTCCGGACAAGTGACCATCAACCATTGATGAGCGGAGCAACATTTCACCAATGGTTGACTGATGAACCTCTGGCCAGCTGGCTCCAAGGAAAAGCCCACGACAGCAGTAGCTGTGCATATCGCACTGGGGCGCTGCGGCACTCACGATTCCAGAGTGGTGAAGGCTACTCATTGCTCATGCACAGGCTGCAATCGTCCCGGCCTATGTTCGCCTTCTCTCTCTCCAAAAACACAATTTCAACTATCTTGCCGGCATCCCCGACAAAAATATGCCACCTGTGCCTGCGTCAAACTCCACGTCCCTCCAAAGGAGCTGCCTGTAGCAGCACATGCACCTTTCGCTTCCAGCAGACGCGTTATTCATCCGTGCGTTCCACGGGATCGAAGGTGGGTCAAGCACCGTGGTGCCTGCGAAAGGGAGGGGTGGATGCGGTATCACCTCGCGCGTAGCAATTATCTGCTGTGTTTTTCCGCGCAACCACCAGAAGAAATGCTCACTCACATCACAGCAGATTTCGTGGTATGTAGCAGTAACACGCACACTAGAATATGTAGGTCAGCGATACCCAGCAGCCACAAGTACGGAGGGACAAAAGATAGGGCAACGATGTCGGAAACAGCCTCCCCACCCTGTCTCGCCAACATTCTCATTCTGCTGTACATGCATTACTCTGGGGCATACGGAAATACAAATATTACTCGTATGAATGTGGTCGTGCGCTGCATGTTGGGAGAAAACGAAGTCACTCTTTGGTGGTCAGCCACCTCTCCGTAGCCTTGTTCTCGCCTGTGCTTGGTAGCTCTCAACGACGCGGCGGTATCAACAACACGGTTATTTCACGAACACCTCCCCCTCAGTAAATTTGTTCACATGGGATGGACTGATTATGATTTCGGAACACAAATGTGAAGAAGAACTTGCAACAGTACAAACTTTCATTGCGTGAGCGCTGCAAAATCACAACCATTACGGAAAAAATGTGCTTATCCAATTCTCTCGCGCGTGTGCTGCAATAGAACAGCCAAGCGCCTTTGTTGTTCTCACTCTCTCTGTGCCGAGATATGTGAACCCATTAAGTACTGAGACTTGTGGCCAGACAAACATATATGGGTGTTTTCAAAGGTATTTTGAAGCACTTTCAATTGAACACTGTTGTTGACAAGGCGTGTCGAAACCACCATTGAGGTTTTCTGTAGCAATGTTCGTCGCCAGCCGCCTTTCCCTCCTACCTACCCCTCCGATGGTTGTGAGCGGTACGATTTAGTCAGCGCCAAAATCCGTCCCTCTTTGTTAGTAGGCCGGCTTTGTCCGAATCGTGCTGTGGGGGGTGGGTTCGAGATATTTCTGTAGTTTAATCCTTCCCTTGGACTGTGCTGTGAAGAGAAGTAGCAAATATTCTTCGATTGTCCGTTTATCCAGATTTGATAGTCTAAGGGACTATCCGCCGTGAGGGCGCGTGCCCCCTGAGATGCTAAAGCGCGCATCGTGTTCAGATCGTTCTCTTTACCTACAAAAATTCCACTTCTTCTACACAATAGTGGGCAAAAAATCAAGTGACCCGTACCTTATTCACCTCCATAAGATTGTACCATCTTCCCCTTAGTTGATACGCCTTCATAGTCAGCACAAGCCCGAACAATGATGCCCCCCCCCGAGATGTACAGAGCGACTTGTTGTAACATTCCAAATGTTTTCATTCATTCGTAGCGTCCTCGCAAATACAGCAGATTTGTTGCTTACCTAACGCTATTATCATGGTTCCCATTGTTTTAGGGTAACTGCCTCTATCTTCGCTTTCGTATTGACTGCCGAAAAGACCGGAAACCAAGCGATGGGTTTCACTTCCCCTGCCCGTTTCACTTCCAACAGTAGTTGGAGGACCTGCGGGTGCATATTCCGATGTGCCGTCTACATGCTACAGTGAAATACGTGTATTTTCATTTTGCGAGGACCCGCCTGTATGAATCTAAAACGTCGCGTAATCCTGCAACTGCGTCTCCTTCGCCGGTTTATCAGCAACTACACTGCAGCATAAGGTGAAAAATGGAGCCGGGTTCAAGCATTATTTCGACAAGTTGGAAGGCCTACCACGACTGTGACTGCAGTGTTCGTACTGTGAGCGTGGGCGCCTTCTGAGGCAGCTATTCTAGCGATAGACTATTGCACTGAACCCGGGGACTGTAGACTGATTATGGTCGGATTTCAAGACAGGGGGGAAGGGGGACACAGAGAGAGGACGGAAAGGAACGGTAGGAGCTACATAGAGACAGGCAACATTCTGAAATGCACACGGCAGATATCCAGATCCCAGAAAGAAGCAGGAAAAATGAGCCTACCCCTCCTTACATTTGTGTCGGTAGTGGAACAATGCTCGCAATTCAACTGTCGGAATTCGACGGCACCTCTCAATGCGGCTTGTCGTGTAGGCCTCTGCCGTCCGAAGTCATCACCACGCAGTACCCTGCCCCGGCCGTATCATCTTCAGGGACTACTTGTACTACTATCTTTAGGAGGCCATGGAGAAGACCATGCTCAACCCCCTCACAAGCAACAAGACCGTCGTCAACCACCTGATGGAGTATGTAGATCACAACCAATATCTGTTCTTCGCGACCGTGTGCAGGGGGTGGTCGCGCGCGTGGGGCGAGCGCCCTGCCGTCACTCGAGCCGCAACGAACGGAACGTCGGTGTCCCAGCTATCCTTCAGCTTCCACTGCGGCCTCCGCAGAACCAAAGGAATCTGCGAGACCGCCGCCAAGCTCGGCAGGCTAGATCTCCTTCAGTGCGCCGTGCTGAATGGTTGCCCGATTGGGAAGATGGTATGCGCCGAGGCAGCCTTGCGTGGACACCTCGGGATCATTTGGTGGGCGAGGACGTACGGCTCCGAGTGGGACGAGAGCACCTGCTCGGCAGCCGCCAGCGGGAGACACCTGAAAATCCTCCAATACTGCCGGGAGCACGGGTGCCCGTGGGACGCCGGAACAACCGCCTCAGCCGCGCGGTGCGGGAGCCTCGGCGTGCTCAAGTGGGCCAGAGAAAATGGTTGCGAGTGGGACGAAGACACAAGCACGTCCGCGGCCTTCGGAGGACATCTCGACATCCTGATGTGGTGCCGAGAACAAGGGTGCGGGTGGAGCGAAGCGACTACCGCTGTCGCCGCCTCTCGGGGTCACTGGGGCGTTCTCCAGTTCTGCCTCGAGAACGGGTGTCCCCGGGACCCCGACAGTATTGAGAAGGAGACGGGACAGGAAACGGATGGTGTAGCCGAAGGGTGTCCACCGCCAGACGCAGAAATGAGTCCGGCCGGGCCCGAGCCAATCCGGCAAGACTTCACCACGGCGCAGTCGTCGTCCCTTGAGATGCACGACCTAACCCCCGATGAGCTGGAGCGAGCCAGGAAGGACTGCGCATTTCATGCAGTCATCTACGGCGATGACGCGCCGCCCTTGGAGATCGAGGAGGCCTTGCGACGCCTCGATCCTTTATGTAGCGATGAAGACTATTGACGATGTAGCGTTACTTCAAACCCATGCGTGGTGTGAACTCAAAGGTGCTCGAGTAGCGTAGCTGCGGATGAGAAGAGCGTGGCAATGGTGGAGTTACTGCCGGGTCACGCTTTCTTTGGTGAGCTATTCGCGAAAATTCGTTGCCTCTGACAAACCAAACCATTATATGTTCCAAGCACATGGCATGTCACAGCGCAGCACACGAACGCACGAAAATCGAAGACCCTCCCCCCCCCTGCGCTTCCTTAATGATTGGTTGTCATTGCTTTCACGCACGTCACCTTTTTCGCTCAGCGCAGGCATCTGAGCCTTCCATTGAATCATTGAATATTTCAACACCTTCCAGCACGTGCCCATGTGCTTGTAATGCAGTTTTCATATGAGATTCGACCAACTCACCGACGAATTCCGGTGGAATTGTTCACAACGAGAACATGACAGAGGTCCATGAGTTGTTGAACGTCCAATTTCGGCACAACACGCGACATTTTTGTACAAGGTTTCCCAGCATCCAGGTGGTCAGCGGTTGGAGGGATGCCCAGACACAAACGTTCGTGGTGATCCTTAGAACCTGTTATTGTTCGTAATAGCCCAATCCCCAGTTCTTCGCACAACTCTTCATATTCCTTCGTCGTAGATCGAGACCGTTGAGTACAAGGGACGACGAAACGGCACATGAGGAGGGTTTCGCGACCCGACGTCCTTCCAGTGACAATATGCATACAGCTGTCCTGGGGCCCAGTAGTCGTGTCGGAGCTCTACAGCACGAAAAAGGCTCTGCCTTCTGCCTCAAGAACCTCGTGTCGGCTCTACAAACGGTCAGTCCTCCTCCAACCTCCCTCAGGAACATGTCACGACTGCGACGTTAGGGCCGTTTCAGGGAGTTGATCTACAATACGGGGGGGGGGGGAGCAGGGGAGGCCCCTGGACCAAGATCATACATTTTGACAAAGAAGGTGGGGCTCGGAGCCGATCATGTCGACGCCCTGCAGGCTGCCTTCACCACGACAAAGAACGGAAACACGATCCCGCACCAGGCCATCGTCAGCGGAGACTGTGTTGAGAAGCACGGTGAGCACCAGACTACCGCATACGACACAAGATAACGCACTCCCGGGACCGATTTTCAAAGCTCAATTACTTCACGACGAAGAGCAGGATGCGTAAACGAAGCGATACATTTTCAGAGAGCTCTCGATCAAACTACTTCAACGCCGCCGTTATCGGCGCCGCGACTCTCTCTGCGGTTGAAAACACGGAGCTTTGAAAATCGACCCTGGGGGTGTGTTATATTGTGTCATATACGGTACCAGTCAGCGCCGACTGGTAGAGTTAGGCCTGTGGTCATCGTGCTTGTCAGCAGAAACGTCGACTTTCGGGAACGTCTCCGGGTGTGGTACGAGCCGGAGCGAACTGCCAGTTACACCTGGATGTGACGGACAGCGAATAATGCTAGCATCTCTACGCTATGGACCCCGTATACGGTGGCGCGCGTTGACACAGGACCTCCCTCGACACAGAACCAGTGCTCAATAAATGCGGAGGATACGGAGTGTAGAGTATCCACTACACCCGTTTGCTCTAGTGTTCTTCTACTCGATTCGTTAGTCTAAACCTTAACCTATTCGTTGTATTCGTTGGGTATTATAACTTTATCCATACCTAGACGAACTTTGACCCGCCTTTGGGAACTGGGTAGTGATACGCGTGCGATGGTTGTGTCCTCAAACTACACTACAGCTTTCAAGGTTCGTCACCCCCTCTCTCTGAGTGTCTCGTATTGATAAATTGGTCACTATCTCCCTTGGCCCTACAGCGTATACTGCGGTGATTATTCTCTGAATACTTTTTCTTTTTCCCTACGCGAAGAAGGTGTACCGATTGCGGTAAACGTCAATCGACGAATACTCTTCGAATCGTGCCCTCCATAGCACTCTCCACCTACAGAACCAATCCTCAACGAGGAACCTCTTGTGGCCAGGACGGGTAATTCGATGGAAGGTGTCTCGATTCTTGGTAGGATCGACTCCAAGCACATTTGTTGTCCATGGGAAAAATATCCCCCAAGTCACGAGAAAATGTTCAAGGAGACTCGCACCAGTCCGACAACCACTACATATGCCAAGGTGTAACCATTCTGGTAGAAACCAGTCGACGGATACCCTGCGAATCGGGTCCTTCATGTAGGCGTAGACTATTTAACTCAGAAGTATGAAACAGTAGTGCAACATACATACCCTTGGTCGACTTCAATTGGTTTGCTCTTTGCATATACATACGTAGTCTACAGTGCATGTAGGCTACCTACCACGGAGGATTTCCAAGACGCGTGCATCGGTTTTATAGTCGAAACTCCCGCTCCCTGACACCATCATCATTTGACGTGCATATCTAGGGCAAGGACATCAGCAAGATCTCTCTCAAACGCGTCCGGGCCGATACGCACACACGAACCCCTGATGACAATCTCTCAGTTATTCCGCCGCCGCGCAACGCTCATCATTTGACGTGCATATCTAGGGCAAATATATCAGCAAGATCTCTCTCAAACGTGTCCGGGTGGATACGCACACACGACCCCCTGATGACAATCTCTCAGTTATTCCGCCGCCGCGCCGCGCTGTTGTCCGAGGGTTGATCCTGCCCTTGTTTTGTGCGCCCATGTTTTGGTCCAGCAAGTACGCGTAGTCTACAGGAGGCACTTGGAAACCATCTTCACCACCACGGAATGTTCGCGTCTTCTCCTCCGTGCTTCGTTGTGTGCGCCGTCTTACTGGCTGTCGAAGGGCGACATGTGAGCGCGGGCGAACACGCGTTTCGGCGTTTCGGCGAAACCAGAGCGTATCTCCGAAAATAACGCGATCTCCGAAAATGAGGACTGTCGAGCAACAGCCAATAGGGATCGGCAAAGAGGAAATTAATTTCGGAGTCAGGATGTGACTATGTACAACAAACAATACACGGCAGTAGCGCAGGTAGCTGCTGCTGCGTGAACAGCTGAAGAGAAGAGAGAAGTATCCACAGAAGTAGGATCTGTCCTCTCCCGTTGAGCTCTCATGCACAAGAGAGCTATGCCATGTACGACATACTCAGGGTATGTCCACCAAAGCCTTGAGCGCATGTAGACTACAGGTCGACGGAATAGACAATTATTTTGTTTTTTCTTCACTTCATATGTACTCCCCAAACCCAAAAACAATTAATTAAATCAAACACCCCTATATATAAATTCTTTTTTTTATGTACTACTCCCCAAACCCCCCAAACCCAAAAACAATTAATTAAATCAAACACCCCTATATATAAATTATTTTATATGTACTCCCCAAACCCACAAACAATTAATTAAACACCCCTATATATGGAAATCAGCGCTCACAGCACTACACTGCCTTTACTCCAACCCGTGGTCACACAGAAGAGCCCCTCTCTACCCTCCCCTCCTGCGGTACTTTGCCTTCGATTTTGAATGCGAGAAGAGTTCAGCACTCTCTTCCCTCTGTGTACACACGAACTAGCGCTATCCACTAAGCCAAGAGCGGAAGCGAGAGAAAAACTCACTTTGCTTCGCTTACGCCGGCTTCGATCCCCTGGACCTGACCTCTAGAAGGTTCCAAGGTTACCTACTAGACCACCGGGGCGACCCTGGCCATGCATATGTGTGTACGCTAAAGTCTGAGGGGTGAGGCCAAACGGTTGAGGGAAACATGCGGATGCTGTACTGCTGTAGCTCTGAGCGACTGGCAGCTGGCTGCTGTACTGCTGTAGCTCTGAGCGACTGGTCTCTCTCTGTCTCGCCTAGACTCTAGACTCGGAGAATCCACCTGCCTACTGCTGTCGTTTCGCCTTGGTTGTTCGGGTGATGGAGATGCCGATGCCGCAGCCCAAAAAGTTGGAACGCGGTTGACCCGCAGGCGGGTGTGCGGCTAGTGTGCGGGCAGGTGTGTCTGCACTAGAACAAGGGAGAGGCGGTGCTACACATACATATGCATACTTACAGGAAAACCCGGCAGCAGTGCCAGCAGGACGGACAGGCACAACCACTTCAGCTCCAGCAGGGTCTAACGTACGATACACCGTTTACTGTAGTAGTTACACCTTCGGGGCTATCGTTTATTTCTCCGTCTTCAGTGACCAGTGATGCTCGGCCGGCTCTTGCCGCTGCCACGTGGTGGGGATGTCGGGCACGCACACCAGATGTGTGTGTGTGTGTCCTTCGGTGTCAAATTCTACCTGAGAGGCGGTGAGACTGGACGGCCGGAAAGACAGTTTTCAAAGTTCGATATATTTCACTGATGACGCTGCTGAAAATGATGGCGTTGGGATTGCCTCCTCGAGTGTTTTCCGAGAACATACTTGTCTGACTTAGAGTCGTCGTGGTAGGTGCGGGGGATGTATAGTTTGTAGAAAGGGCTTTGTGTCACCTACACGTACGCGTATCAGTATATTTGTAAACGCCAGCGGTTTCCTATTTTCAAGTCTGTAGCGTTGTTTTTTAGACTCAAGAACAACGCTTTTCTTTAGAGCAGGCATAAGAGAGCAGGCAAATCTGCAGCAGCACCAGCACGCCACAGCCCTTACCACACCGCGTGGACCTTCACTGTGTGTGGTGATGCTCAGGAAAGAACGAGTAATGATGTGCTTTCTTTTTCCTGCGTAAAGGCGCCACATGCCGTACGCATGTTGTGTTTACCTTCGGGGTAAAAAAGTTGTCAACTACTGATGCCACCGCAGCCAGCCATCGTTTCTGTCCAACGTGCGATTTCGAGAAGAGTGCTGTTATGCATCTAGTATGAGAGGAGAGACACACCCACAGATAGATGCACAGCATCACGGCCATGCACAGCGCGACCATGCACAGCGCTACCATGCAAGTGACTTCGGTGCCGTTTCAGTTTGTCATGACCAGCAGCAAATGTGGGGTGTCTCGTCTGCGAACTCTCTGAAAAAACACAAAGAAAGGAAGGCCAGAACCACCAAGGACGAAGAGTCGTCGCCGGGATGGGAATGCAAATCATCATTTATTTGATCATTTGATCATTTGATCCGACCCTTGAAAGTTGAAACTGCGGACGAGCCCTGCCGTGGTCCATCATCGTTTTCAGCGTATAACGCTGGGCGGGCATTCTCTCTCTCCGGCGTGGAGTTTGTGTACAAGTATGTATTCTGTGTGTCTGACACTCGCTGTTCTGGGGCTGCTACATACAGGCTTGGATACGATACTCCTACATACTGCACGATACGTATACGTGTACGCCTCAAGAAAACCATCCGCAACGGGAACGCAACAATGGTGCCTACCTACGCTGTTGCTGGTGACGTGCCCATCCCTGCCTCCCTCATATCATCGCAATGACGGCGGATTTTCGTGGTTGAATCAACAGAAGTCGACGGATATGGATGCCCACGTCATCCCGTACACATTTCCCCCCTCTTTTTCGTCGAGTCGGCCAATTTACAGCAGTACATACCTGTAGGTCGGCCCACGACAGCCAAGTTGCGCGCAGATTGTTTTTTGTCTTTTTTATGCCTGGCTCTACCTTTGACATAGGCTTGAACCAATTCTCTTACCTCTACGGGGGAGCCTTGCATGTAGTCGACATTGCATGTCTGTCTACTACTTACTGTTGTCTGCCGTGTTTCAAGGTCGCGCAATGTTGTTATTGCCGATGCCTTGTTTGGCGTCGAGCAGAGCAGGATCGAAAAAATTCGAAATCGACATGATGCGGCCGAACAATAACCGCGCTATAGATTCATACAAGCAGATCGAACGGCATTGTATAGATTCGATCACTGCGGAACAGTATCATGACAGGCACGACCAAGCGCGGACCCTTGTCTCAGAGCTTTGGCCCCTTCAACTCCCCGCCCCACCTTCTTCACTCAAGATCTCTTCTACTTTTTTGCCCTCCTCTTCGCAAGACCGCTCGCTGCCAAAGCTGGCGTGGTAGATATATAGCCAACCTCACGCAGACACCACGTTACATCACGCCCGCGAAAAAACCATGGACGGCGGCGTGCTTGACGAGCGCATCCTCGCGCCGGCGGTGACATCAGAGTTTCTCTGGATCGTCATCGTATCGTCGATCGGCGCCGTCTTCGCGGCCTTCGGCATCGGGGCAAACGATCTCGCGAACGCCTTCGCCACCTCTGTGGGCGCCAGGGCCCTCACCATCAAGCAGGCCGTCGTCCTCGCGGGAGTATTCGAGTTCTTGGGAGCCGTGTTCCTGGGCTCGCACGTGGCCAAGACCATCCGCTCTGGCATCGCGGACGTGAGTATATTCGTGGTCGATTCCCATTGGCTCTGATGGCTTCGGTAGTCAATCTTGTAGATAGATGTACACACCGTAGAGGGGAGATCTTGGTGATAGCCCCGGCGGAGAGGTAGATGCGATGGTCGTTTCACATATGTACAAGATGCATCTACACCATCCGCCGGATTCGTGCACCTACCTGTCCGTCCCTCTAGCTACCATCGGCTAATTATTGCGGTGGCAATCAGTTGTTGGTACACACGTTCGTCTTCTGTAACGCATGTCGCAGGCGACCCTCCCTTTTCGAATTCATTTGTAACACGAGTTGAACGTCCAAGTTATCCGAACATTGTCTCCGTGAGAACGTTTCTTGGGTACGTCCAGACCTGGCATACCACGGGTCGGAATAAACGGCACTAGTGCTGTGAGCGCTGATTTGAAGTGAAGAACAAAAAAAAAAAAAAAATACCAGAGGATGTAGGGTAGTGTGTTGTCGACTAGAAAGCTGCACGTCACCGACAATTGGCAGACGACCCCTTCGGCAGACACGAGAGAGACAGACAGTCTTAGAAGAAACTTCGGTGTGCCCGCCGCACATACGGGAGGTCTTTAAAACGATACCGTTGGGGAAACAAAGAACGGCACGGTCTCTTGGTGCCGCCTGCAGACCAAGTTGTAGTCCACAGTCCGTGAAGTCTAAAAATCCACGTCGTCGCACATACACATGATGCGATGCATGCTTGAGAGGATTGGGTTTTCAACGAATAGCTCTGAGCGCCGTTGTGGATACAGCCTCCCCCTCAGTAACGAGGTCTCCACAAGAACGATAGAACAATCGATGCATGCATTCCGTTCGAGCTTCGTCGCGGAATTCCTCCTTTCTGAGTCGCCAAAGTTGCACAGTAGACCTACTCGCTAGGCCCCATCGTCTTTCCATTTCCAATGATTGGACAAAAGCGAGGGCACGACAAACACCAAACCAAGTACTCCAGAGCTTGCTGCCTGCACCAACCAGTGGCGTGCTGAGACTATGTACAGTAGTAGAGCCAAAAGTCTGGCTTGCCCTCCAGATTGTTGGCCATGGCCACAGGCAGGTTGTTGCTAGCCAGCACTGGACGCTGAGCACGGAAACACTTACTGCAATGAATCATCGAAACATCCAGGGCTGTCCTGGTGAATTTCCCGGCGTTCTTTTCTCCGCGGTAGGTATATTGGTGGGTGTGCGTTTTACCTACTAGTCAAAGTCGTTTGATGAGGCCACGAAAAATCCGCACGCAGTTTTTAGTACTTCTTATTTATGCCAACAAAATTGATTTGGCTGGTGGACGTGCCCGGCGAATGAGTGTGTCGCTCACGTTCGTACGGTGACCACCACACGCTTGAGAAACACACCGAAAAGGCAACACAAAACAGCGCACTACTGTACCTGGCGGCAGGTTGTGAAAACATATTCTCTCCGCGGAAGGGTTTATTCTTTTTTCCCGGGATTTATTTCCAGCAAACCTTACAACAGTCGAAAGCGATCTACAGCAGTAGGTTGTGAGTGAACAAACTCCGGATTCACGGTGCATGAGGGAAAGGCATGGCTGAACCCGTCTCGCGATATAAACTAAGGCAAGCACGGCAGGGGAAAGGTGGGGCAGCAAAACAAACAAAAATAATGAAGAGGCTCCCGTGTGACCTTCCTCTTGGGTGATCCCGGCTGATACGTCAGGTACATTTATTTGCCGAAAGGCCTATAAACTGGTGCCAGAATAGATTGGACGAACACACACAGAGTACCCTGATATATCTGGTGAACTGCAGCGCAACTTGAACCGGCGCGGTGTCCAGGAAAAAATGAACAGCGTTTATTGTTGTGTGCATTTTCGCGGGGACTGGTTACCGTACAACGAAAACACTCCGGTGGTGGCCAGCTACAGTAGCGCCTACCAAGCAAGTACGTGCAAGATGTCGAGGCCAAATTCCGGAAAAGGCAATCTCTTTTGTATCGCCGTGGAGTCTGATAAACTCTGCATTTCGGTTGCCCGAAGACATTTTATCGATGTAGAAAACCGCCGACGAGGGAGGGAAAACGGAATCTCACGTCCAATGCCATCCTCCGACTCGTTACGCCACCGATGAACGTCACGCCGCTCTAATATCCCGACGGAATTTTCATGTTTTCCTTCCGTGACCATGTCGCTTGGTCGCGAAAGTTGCCTCTCTACCTACACGCTTCGCGAGGAGTGATACCACCATTCGTAATCTACACTGTGCATATACCAACATCCACATCTGTCTGCTCTCAATATTTTAGCTGTCTCGCCGTTTGTCTCGCTCTCGTTCCCCATCCCTGACAATCGCTTCCCTTTTCATTATCGAGGTCTCGCAGGTTGCATAGGGTCGTTTTATACAGCGCTGTTTTCTCTTGATTTGTGAATCCAAACTTTTTGGAAGTCATTGAATAATTTGGAAACTATCCAACAAATTTGGAGCCCGAAAAATAGCGCTTCCAAAATGTTTTTTAATCGGCAAGGGGAAACCAAGCCCACCCCCGCTGGTGGTTAGAGGTGCAAGCTGTGGTGTAAATGGGAGACACTAACCATGAGCTGCGGAGGGTGGGGGTGGGAAAGTGGGAGGACGGGATTGAGCTGGAAAATGTTCAATTTATTTTGCGCTGGCCATCCCGCCCTGTCGGTAGGATGAATGCCCCAGTCGGCAATGACGAGACCAGCTGCGCACGGTGGTGTACGACCTTATGTACAACCTTGACGTCGTGAGGGGGTTGCTGTCCTTGCTCCGACGGCCTAGTGCCTCCGGCCACCGTCCCGCGTAAGGGTCGTTGCTCGAGGTTTTACCATCATCGTCCTTACCCCACAATGTAATATAGCAGGCGCTATCGCTGAAGCTCTGATGAATGACGTTGTGTTGATTGTTGTCCCACGAAAAGTATCAGAGGTAACCGGCGCTTGAGTCGACTTCTCGTCATTTGGCATGACGCGCGTTTCGCTAGAAATGCATTTCCCGGATATTGGGGGTGGTACAAGCGAAAAACGAAATATTTCCCGAAGACTCTTTTGACGTATGGGCAAGATTCTTTCTTCTCCTCATTGAAGTTGTCTTCGCTGTGGCAAGGTTGAACACGTGAATGAACATATTAAAGGACCCATCCACACTGATTGGGTCTACAAGTTAACCCATGTTGGTTTCGGCGAAACTGCCAGAACAGCTCGACGATGCGTCGAGGGTGCGAACGAGCATTTAGTCGTACAGTCGCGACTGTAAACGTTTGAACCTTGTACCCCCAAATTTTGTGCGTTGGAGATTCTTTCTGTGCCCCGGTCACAAGTCTCTCGCGTGTGGCTTCATTTCCCCCGAAACGTGTGTAGATAGAAAAAATGTCCACGTTCAGTTCATGTTTGCGAAAATATTTCACATTATACTGGCGTGTTTCCCACAGAGGGCGCCCAGCATCCACGCGCTTCTTTCTAACGTATAGCCTATTTTGTGGTGCCTCCTCGTGAATAACCCGTGTTGACGTTCTATGCCGAGGGTTTTTGCACTGCTTTATTGCACCTCTCCTTGTTGTGAATTTGTTATGAATTCATGTGTGTATCGCCTATGTTTTGAGAGAATCTTGGCGGGGAGGTGTGTTTGAGTATTTGCGGCCTACGCCACTTATTCATCGAGTGAGACTGTTTCGGTGATGTATTATCTTCACGAGAGGTAGGCGACCGTCCTTCACACGGACGAAAGAGGGAGTGCTCCACACAGAGCATCTCCAACGCTCCAACAGCAAGGAGGGGCCCCGTGACACATCACGGTGCCCCCTACCAAACGGCAATCTTACCAATCTGCGTGACACCAAATCATACAGCACGTGTATCCAACACCAATGTTCGCAGACTCTCGAACAAGGTGGCCATCCACATGAAAGATCGTGTACCCCCCCCCCCCC